ATCCTAGATTATTTAATGATTGATTTTTTTTAAGATATGTGATATTATATGCATTAACTAATTTAATTATATAATTTATATCACGTCATTAATTTTAAATTTTCATCCTCCCTATCATTACTCTTTTATAATAAGAAAAATTATTAAAATTAAGATATAATCATAAAATTAAGGATTGATTTTTTTTAAGATATGTAATATTATATATAGTAATTAATTTAATAATATAATTTATATCACGTCATTAATTTTAAAATTTTGTATCAAATTTTTATCCTTCTTATTATTACTCTTTTTTGAATTATCTTTTCTAATATTTTGATATGACCAAAATATCCTAATTATATGCTATACCGAAGATTAAATACCACAAAAAAACAAAAATACTCGTTAATTTCAATCGCGCGGGTAAAACACCAAAATGGGAAGAGACTCGGCCTGATGATTACTCGTCTATGGGCCTAGGAGGGCCATCCAGCCCGTCGAAAGCTCTGGCCATCTGCCTTGTTCACTGGGCGTCTAGATAAATATATTACAACAACATATATATATATATATATATATGTATATAGAAAAAGTGTTTGTCAGTCTTACCTACTAAAAATTAAGATGAAAATTATTTTAAAATTACGTCGTTTCAATAATTTTTTATTAAAAAAGATTAAATTATCCTATTTTTAAAGCATGCATTAAGGTGATTTTTGTCTTTTTTTTCTCATAATTTTTTAAAGGTAAAACGAATAAGCACTAACCCATATATATATATATATATATATTTTGAATTTATGAGAAAAGAAGAAATTAAAACGTCTTGATATTAAAAATATCAAAACGTTTAATTATAATTATTAAATATGTAAAGTATAATGTAAATTTTAATTTTATTAAACTTATTATATAATTATTATTAAATATATTGATATTTTTAATATTAAGATATCTTAATTTATTTCTTTAAATATTATAAATTTATTATAAAATTAAAAAAATACAAAAAGACACCTAATATTAAGGTTTGTCCCTTATTTAATATTTGAATTATACGTCATTTTATATAGGCATGGCAACAGGGTCCCATAAAAAAAATACAAAAAGACACCTAATATTAAGGTTTGTCCCTTATTTAATATTTGAATTATACGTCATTTTATATAGGCATGGCAACAGGGTCCCATAAAAAAAATACAAAAAGACACCTAATATTAAGGTTTGTCCCCTATTTAATATCTGAATTGTATGATATTTTATCTAGGGATGGCAACGGGGTCCCATGGGGCTGAGGAGCACCTCCCCATCTCAGTCCTCGCGAATCGTAGGGATGGGGATCCCCATGGGGAATTTTGACGAGAGGCAAATTTTGCCCCCTATTCTCGTTCCCCACGGAGATCCCCATTCCCCACTAATTAATATTAAAATATAAATTTTTGCATATAATTGCAGCAACTCCAGTAGCAGCTTCGACAACAGCAAAGCAACTCTAGTAGATCAATAGGCAGCAATTCAGCAGCAATTCTAGCAGCAGCAGAACAACTCTAGCAGATCAATAAGCAGCAGTCTGGCACCAATCTGGCAGCAACTCTAGCAAATCAGTAGCAGATTAGTAGTGGCAATGGAGAAATGAGTGAAAGTGATGGCAAAAGGGTGAGAAGGGAGGCAATGAAGAAGGTCTGAGATTCTTGAATCTTGAAGAGTGTCGACGGTAGAAGGGAGAGGAAGGTGAGACCGTGAGAGTGGTGAGAAATGACTTAAGATTTTAGGATTAAATGGTTAATAATGGGTTAAGTTAATTTTTATGGGTTATGTTGGATTGGGTTAGGTAAAATTGAATTAAGATTAATTTTTATTGCATTGGGTTTGGGTTTGAAGGTTAAATTAAATTTGAAATAAAATTAATTTATATATTTTTTAAATTTTTTGCAGGGGATGGAGATCCTAGAGAGAATGGGAATCCTTGCGTAGCCTCACATGTAGGGGGAAATTTCTCGTGAAATTTCGTGGGGAGAAAAGTCCCTTGTCCTATGGGGAGGAATATTCTTCCTTACCTCATTCCCATGATGGGAATCCTCGTGAAGCCCTACGAGGATAAAGGCAAATTACTGCCCCTAATTTTATCACTATAATATTTTATTTGTATTGGTTTACAATGAATGCAATTAGTATCCACAGTATCCACCATCCAACAAATAGTGGTGAGCTAGCCATTATTGTTAGTGGAGCATTTTTCAATAAAATAAAGTTTATGGTAAAAAAAGTCACAAAACTCAAAATATAATACTATATATAGAGGGTTATAACGGAGGAATTCACAGATATTAGTTAGGAGCAGAATTTTTAAAGTTACTGTTTACACCTAAAATAAATCAATAGGGTAAAACCACATGTCAAGATAAAACCCAATTATCAAGAAAATCAATAGGCTGGATTTGGGCTAAACTGACTTACAATTTAATGGCCTAGACGGATTTTCAAGGAGGTTGGATCTTAGGTGGCAGAAGATAAGATTGGATCTGATAGTTTGAGTTTGATTTAAAGTGGGAAATTGAGGGTTTTTAGATAGTTATCTTTAAGGTTATTAGAGATAAGGTTAAATAAAAATTATTGGATAACTGTCAAGCAACTGCCAGACCTGTAACCCCACTACTAGATCATGGAGGAACAGTACCGAAAATCATGGAGAAAGTTCCCAGCACCAAAGAGAACAAAAACAAAGAGAAGAGAACAGTTTTGAGAGGTATGCCCAACACACACACTACCCAGACCATGTTTTTCAGTTTTCAGACTGCATTTTCTAGATTTCAGCAATAGTTTCTAGATTTTCCAGATTAGTTCATAGCCTTAGCCTAGGTTTGTTCATCTTTGTTCATATTTTCTTTCGCAAATTCCAATTTAGATTAATTTTAAAGCATTTGGAAGCAACTTAGCCTTCAAAACAGGTCTGCCCTTTTGATTTGATTAGATTAGTTTTTCTTCATTTTATGGATTTAGTTATATTATTCGTTCATGTAAATAGGTTGAACATTTTCTACCTTTGTTCTTTTGTCTCTGCACAATATCCAGGCATTCAATTCACTTAATTTCAATTTCCAGATTTAATTTTATAAGTTTCCAATTCTAGACTTCAATTAACTTGTAGTTATTTCGTGTAGTTTTAACAATCAAGTTGTTTAGTTTTTGTTATTTTAATTCTGCCAGTAATTAGTTTAATCATTATGGGCTACGTAGTTGAAATCATTGTCTGTTATTTTACTTTTTCTGTTGTCTGCGAATTTAATCTTTATGACATGTTATTTTTTGTTATTTACTTCATGTTAATTTAATTGCCTTAGGATATTACATTTATCATAGGATTTGTAGTTTTTATTACACTTGTTTGGTTATGAAGTCCTTAGAGGTTTCCAAGGCAATTAGTAACACATTTTGCAGAACTTTACCCTCTATTTTGCAACATCGTCTAGAGCGCAATTCATTTTACAGACGTTCTTTCCAATCATCCTATTGGAGGTCAACCGCTGGAAAAGAGAGGTCAACCGCTGGAAAAGAGAAGGGTCGTCTGGAAAATCTAATTTTCTTGTTTTTAAACAAAGCAAGTGACACGCCTAATAACTAAACTCACGTGGTAAAGGTCGATTAAAGATTTTTGGGGAAACAGTTACTAATTAATATATTACATTTCTTTTTTTTTTTAAAGGCATAAATTGATATACAATATTTGATATGTTTGAAAAACTTTTACATTTAAATATAATTAAATAAGGTTGAACAAAGATTAAATGTTTAACAACAATATCTTAAACTACCATTAATAAACAATTAAAAAAATAAATAAAATGATAATGTAAACATCATAATTTAATTAATTTTTCAATTTTTCCTCATCTTTTTAAAGCATTTCAATTTTCTAATCTTCCTAATCGTCACCTAAACACCCAATTAATCATCACCTAAAGTTCCCAATAGATCAATAAACAAGAAACTGACAAAAAAAAAAAAGAAATATTAAATTTAAAGACGAAAACGATTAAAACAAAAACTAATTGGCAGAATTTACTTTATTTACAAATTTTAAAACCCACCAAATAATTTCTTTTTCCAAAGCCAGGGGGGGCCACCACCTCCCCTGGCCACAACGTGGCCCCCCCACCGCCAACAAGCAAACTCTTTATTTTGTTTTTTTTAATGCATCAACTCATAAACATAGATCATGGAAAGGATATGTTAATTTAAGTAAAATGCTTTTGGGATGATTTTTTTATATTATTTTTTGATATAATTTAATGTATTATTTAAATGATTAATTTTTTTATATATGTAAAATTTATAATATTAAATATATTTATTTAATAATATATGAAACTTGTATAAAAAAATAATATAAAAAATTATTTTTATAACACTATCCTTAATTTAAATTCTGGATTCCAAGATTAAAGGCAAAGAAATATGAAAGTTGTTTTTTTTTGTTAATGATTTAAAAATAATTTTTTTATAAATATTTAAATTATTAATTTTTAAAATTTGTGATATAAAATATATTTATTTATTTAATAAAATATAAAAGTTATATAAAAAAAAATTTTATACGTCACTACTCTTTTTCTTTTTACTTTTTTTTTTCTCAAAAAGGGGTTTTTTCTTCCTTAATATACTAGTATAAAATAAGATTTGTTCTTGTTCTGTTTGAGCTTCTAGGATACTGCTGTTTCGCAAACAATATTTATACAATTTTTAGCCTCCACGAGATTATTATTGATCTAAATGCAATTAATTCCAAGATTATTGTATAATTAATTAAAGTATTTTCGTAAGTTGTTTTGGTTTTTTGGGCCAGTCAAGACAAGACCAAGTCTGTATAAAATCCATAAACACACTGCACTTTGATGAAATCCCATCGCTACCACTTATTAAAGCACATATTACAATTTGTTATATCTCTTTTATAATCAACTACATTATGCTTAAATTTATATGTCAAAAAATTAATTTTTTAAACTATTTTTTATGTAATTTTTTTTTTTTAATTCCATTTTCGAGAAAACTGCATACCAACCAGCCCGGTGGAGGGTGAAATCACACCCTCCCATCGCTCAACAGAAACCAAAAGATAAGAAAACTAGTTCACCGCACAAGACAGAAGCTGAATTGATCCCTCAGTGAATATGATTAAACAACTCACCGCCTAAAATATTAGATTCCCGATCATATACGGCAATATATAAATCACAAAACATTAAAAAAAAGAAAAAGAAAAAAGGAGTCACAAGAGACACGTCTTCTAAATGCAACTGCAATTATACATATTAATATTGGAAAATACGAAAATAAATAAATATATAAATTATAAAAACCTGTGAATATGAACTTTGAGTTGCAATTAGGAAAGAAAGCTTCTGAAATCCCATCTTAGATCGCCAGTGATCGTCGACGTTAGACTCAGCGACGGCCGAATAACAGTCAGAGAAATACAGAAACGGCTGTCAGAGTAATTAAATAGATTGTATGAATGTCAATATATAAAGTCTAAGCTCTAACCGGCTTGCCATCATGGAATCCATCTCCTACAAAATTGGGCCGTAAGCCCTTAACCGATGTTTTGAGTAATGGACTCATGAGTCATGTTTCCTATCCGTCTTCTTTCTCTAAAATGTCCAAACTCATCCCTTATGATTTTTTTAAAAATTGTATAGAGAGGGAGAATGATTTCTAATTTTTTAATTTATTTTACTTGTATATAATGTAATTCAAACATATAATTTTTTTATTTTATATAAAAAATAAATTATCCTTAAATTATTTATATTGTTAAAAATTTTATTTTTTTCTTTATTTTTGAATAAATACTATTTTCATCTGAAAATAATAAATATTTTTTTATTTATAATTTGTTGCATAA